TGGAGCAGCCGCTGGGTATGGCCCTGAGTAGGCGTTCGAATAAGGGTTCGAGTAGGGCCCTCGGTACACTGGGTTTGTTCGGGGGATGCATAAATACCCGCCATTCTGGTTAACACACATCATGTCTCCTCGGCAGGCCTCGGGGATGGTCCGGCACTCATCGATATCTGCAAGGGCCAGGAAAGGACGAGCGTTAGTGGCCCCCATGCGCCTTGTGCACGGTGCATATTTAAGCAGAGCTCTGCACCAGGAGTGGCAAGAAGGACCCCCAAACACACTTCACCAGCATCTGCTCTCAAACACCTGGACGGTCCCCGGCTCATCGCAGGCAGGTACTCCCAATGTTGGCCCAACTGAATCAAGGTGACCAGCGTCACCCAAACATCAGCCTTTCAAATACCACCAGCACGAATTTGACCATATCCACAAAAACCTTGCTGTGGTTTGAATGTCCCCTCTAAAACTCATATTGAAACTGAATCCCCGATGTGGCCGTATTGAGAGGTAGAACCTTTAAGAGGTGATTAAGTCATGAGGGTTCTGCCCTCATTAATGGATTAATCCATTCATGGATTAATGGGTTAATGGGTTATCACAGGAGTGGAGCTGGTGGCTTTGTAAGAATAGGAAGAGAGACCTGAGCTAGCACGCTTGGCCCCCTCGCCAGGCGCTGCCCTGCGCCACCTTGGGACTCCGCAGAGGCCCCACCAGCAAGAAGGCCCTCGCCACATGCCGCCCCTTGATCTGGGTCTCCTCAGCCTCCGTAACTGTAAGAAATAAATTTCTTTTCTTTATAATTTGCCCAGTTTCAGGTATTCTGTTATAAGCAACAGAAAATGAACAAATACAAACCCATACTATCATTCGCTTAATACTTTTCTTTAAATGAACCCACATTTGAAACCCAAGTAAGTGTATTTTTTTAATCTCACATGACTACAGCAAATGAAAAACACTCTCAAGTAGCATAAATAAAAACAATACAAATAAACATATAACTATTAAAATAGAGAGTGTTTATCTGTGGGTACACCATCTAAAAACATGTCATGTACTCTTGCGTGCACATACTACACTCTGAGCTAGGAGAGGCCTGAGAATTGTTCCCACTTCTATTCCAAATAACAGCTGGGCAGGATAGAAAGAGTCCCTTGCATCGAGACAGACAAGGTCTGGGCAAGAACGAGTTACTTGTTAAGAAAGCAGAGTCTTACTTTAAAGTCAGCTCACACTGTGCAGCTAGCAGGGCCGATTTCCAGCCTGGCTGGTGCTCAGACTGTTACGCCTGGAGGGGCGGGCGGGCTCTCAAGAAAGTCAGCCTTGCTAGAGTGGGCACAGGGGAGGCCTGAACTCTGGCCCTGGTGAGCAGCAGACCCGATTCCATATACTGGGCCCTCTCACCAGCCTCGGCGTCTGCTCTACGTGGGACTCAGGCTGGGGAAGAGACGCCTGCATCCTGACAGCCACCCCCCTACCTCATCTGACAAACTCGGGAAAGGAGAACGTTGAGGCTGAGAATGCAACAGCCTGTGCTCCAGCTTGAAGCCTGAAATTGTCATTAAAACCGGTGGGCCAGAAAAGAAGGCTGCTGCCTCTCTCTGTCCCTTGGCACAACTTCAAATCAAAGAGCCTTACTTTAAATCAAAGTGGAGTTAAATTTCCAGATTTCCCAGGGCAGGGTTTTATTTTTTGCCACTTGTCGTTTTTCAAGCCATCTATCTCCCCTCTGGTGCGTAGCTGATGTGAGCTCAGGGAAGACTAAAGATTTGGCCTAAATCAAATATAATTTAAAAGCTAGGCCGGGCACGGTGGTTCATGCCTGTAATCCTATCACTCTGGGAGGCCAAGGCAGGAGGATCGCTTGAGGTCAGGAGTTCGAGACGAGCCTGAGCAAGAGCAAGACCCCCGTCTCTACTAAAAAAAATGAAAAAATTAGCTGGGCAACTAAAAATAGAAAAAATTAGCCAAGCACCACTACAGGTGGTACGTGCCTGTAGTCCCCAGCTACTTGGGAGGCTGAGGCAGGAGGATTGCTTGAGCCCAGAAGTTTGAGGTTGCAGTGAGATATGCTGACGCCATGACACCCTAGCCGGGGTGATGGAGCAAGACTCCATCTCAAAAAAAAAAAAAGAAAGAAAGAAAGAAAAAAAGCTGGGGCAAGTGATGTGGTCTTATTCTTTTCATACACTCTGTGCTCCATCCACGACACACTATTCTATGCCCTGAACATCCTGTCCACCCTGGTCTTTGCTCATGCTGCTCCTTCTACCCAGAATCATTTCTCAGGATCTTATTTATCCTTCAACACCCAATTCAAATGTGACCCCCCTCGGCAATGTCTTTACTGACCCTGGACATAAGGGATCATTCTCTCCTCTTCTCCTCATCAGGGCTTTTACCTCCGCGTGGCAATTACTTTATTCTGCCACCCCCTCTCAAAGTCCGTGTCTAAGCCCATCTTTCCCACTGCGTGATGTGCTAAGAGAGTGTCCACCCCCCACACAAATGCCCTCTTCCTAATCCTCATACCTGCAGATATGGTAGGGTACACGGCAAAGGGGAATTACGGTAGCAGCTGGAATTAAGGTTGCTAATCAGCTGACCTCGAGACAGGGAGATTACCCAGGATTATCTGGGTAGACCCTACGTATTCACACGAGTCCTTAAAAGTAGAAGAAGAGGCTGAAGGATTGATCAGAGAGATGCTATAGTAGTAAAAGAAGAGATTCAGAGCGTGAAAGGCACTTGACTCGCTGTGCTGCCTTCGAGGACCGAGGAAGGGGCATCACCAAGGAATAAGGGCACGACTAGAAGTTGGGAACGGTGCTGGGCTGGCAGCCAGCAAGGACATGGGAACCTCAGTCCCACAACCACAAGAAGCTGAGCTCTGCCAGCAACCCCCATGAGCAAGGAAATGGAGCCTCCCCTAGAGCCTCCAGAAAGGAACACGGCTCTGACGACACCTGGCTTTTCTTCTGGGAGAGAGCCATGTTGGACCTCCGACCTACAGAACTGGGAGATAACTTGTGTTGTTTAAGCCACTGCGTTTGTAGTGACTTGTGACAGCAGTCGTAGGAAACTGACGCTGGCAGAAAGCTCCTTGAGAACAGAGACCGATTCTTTGACTCCTCACAGAGCTTAGCCCAGGGCCGGGCACAAAGAAGCGATGGATCAAAGGGCATCATTGGCTTCAATCATTTCACACCCCTGTGTCCCCCCATGGGCAAGGCTAACAAAGATCTGACAACACGGAACAACAGCCAGGAAAGAAACGGCCCTGCAACTGGGCCGAATACCCCGACCCACGAAGGACGTTTGGTGGCTCATACCTAAACACTGTCCTGACTGGCGATCCAGGTCAAAGCCATTAGTGCACTGTGCCTGCAGGGAAGGAGAGAGAAGAAACAGGCACGGTCATTTCACTTCCTTTTTACAGTAAAAGTATATAGCTGCGTCGCAGAAAGCTGGGGAAATGGAATAAAGAACAAAGGCATCCATAATACCAATACTTGCATTATAACCCCTATTCATTCTTTTTAAAATTTTTCTTGTAATTATTTTACACTCAGAATCCCCTTTTAAACTCCCTGCATCATCGC